AAAACCAAAGCTTAACCCAGACCTTACTTCTACATACATTTTTCCAGAAAAGAGTTACAATTACTGTGAAGCTTTTACTTCACGTAGAGTTGCACTTGTGTTTTCACAGGGTTAATTTAGTGTTTTTCAACATTAGTTGAAGTGTAAGCTTGAATCAATCCTTTTGACCTCACTTGGAGAAATTGCTAATGTACCAGTAATACTGAAAAAGTGAAGATGTAACTAAATTAGAAATTCCCTTTTTACATTAGGAATTATTAATCCCTCTTTATTTAGGAATGTGAATAAAGTGAAAAAAAATTTTGGAGGCCTAACTGAAGTGGAAAGCTAACCCTTACTCAGTACTTTTCAGGGCAAACCGATTAAAAAAAACCTTCTTTTTGTTAAAAAGAAAAAACATTTTTTCATGTGTTTTTTTTTTCCGGAAATACACACTTAACAGGCCTATACAGAAAGCACCATGCATGAAAGAAAAGAATATTGAAAAAAACTGAAGTCACTGAGATGACTTCAATCGTTTATTGTAAAAAAGTTGCAAAGTTAACTACAGCAATAAAAATTGTAGGTTTGATACTTAAACAGTCCCAGCCACCTGCGGGGTTGTGGAAAGCTGTAGTTTTTCTGAACTCTGCTATTTTTTTCTTTAAATAGGTTTTCCTGACTAGCTTTTCTTTGTGGAAGAAGGGTGGGTGTTGAGTGGGACTGGGAGGGCGCAGGTAAGCAGTAGCAACTTGCAATCAGAGTCATTCTGCATCAAAGACAACAGCAGGTGTGCATACAAGTAACGCCACTGACAGCTGTCTGAAGATCAATCTTCAGTGCCACACTGAGTGGAAGCAACAGGGGCATATTAGTCAATTCTGTTTCGAAAAAGCTTTCAGTTTTTTTTTCGCGGCAGAGTTAAATAATAATCTTTTGAATGTCTGCGTGTGTGTGTGTTCAGAGAGCAAGTGTTGCACATTTGCTGCAAGAGCAGCAAGGAACAGTCTGGGTTTCTTTTTAGTCTCTCCTAAGTAGAGGCAACATCAGTACTTTATCTTCTTGAATAAGCTGATAGAAGACGATACAAGCTCTGATTGTCAGCTCTCACCTGTCGCGGCCAAGCCCCCCCCCTGCTGAGCCAGTGCCTCTGAAAGTCAGGTACAGTACCATTGGCTGGGCGCCCAGTGACACGGCGCTGCCTTCCTCCCGCAGGTAGCGAATGAGCATGTCGACGCTGTTGGAGATAAAGAGCAGCGTGCTGAGGCAGGTGCAGAGCCGGCAGTCACTCCGCGGGAGAAGAGAGACTCCAGCTGCCACCACATCCTCCAGCACAGACGCACACAGCGCTGCCAGCGCCTCCCATGGGTGAGTCCCCTCATCTGCCTCCGACTGCACTCGGACAGTTCACTGTGACACTGAAAGGGGGGAACATGACACGCAGCCAGATTCCAGGATCACACTTCTCAGGACAGCAGGAAAACGAATGGCTGTGCAGGCTGCAGCACCTGTTGAGTTCTTTTCTACGTTTGCGAACAGGCTGTAGGATTTTCAGTATGTCTAGGATTTTCTCTATAGGGTTTCTCTGTGTGTAAGACTCGCTCTGGGTGCATGATCTTCTCGTGTGAACAGAAACTTGTTGGTGCCACAAAGAATCTGACAGATCCACCCACCGGTCCAGCATACTGATGTCTCACATATATGGAGGTTTGTAGGAAAGATCAGGGGTTAGCTCTAAATATATTGATCCTAAAACATGTACTTCTCCAATGTAGGGCAAGTAGAGGAGATGTTTTGAAGTATAAAAGGTGCTAGTGAACAATGGTGAACAGATCTGATAGGGAGAGAATCACTCTGTCAGTCTGGTGATCTCCAAGAAGCCTCTTCGTTACAAAATAAACCTCTTTCAAACCTCCACTAAACTACACTGTGACTCCTTGCATCCAGGCGATGCTTTCATCTCGCTGTAGACGTTGGACTGGAGACCTGTCTGTTAGTCTGGAGATCTTCCATTTATGCATCTCCTGTCTGATGTGAGAGGGGATTTGTGCTTCTGTGAGGCATCAGGGCAGATTTCAAATCGCACAGTCCAGTTTTGACAGGAGCGGTTTGTTTTAATTTTGTATGTGTGTTTATGCTCAGCTGCGTGAAATGAAGATGGTGTCAAAAGTGCGTGTGCTTCAGGTCCAACAAGGGCAGCATTCAATTTCCGTTTGAGGTCATACTCTTTTATAATGTTTTTTTAAATAATGGATTTTTAACATTGCTTTCCTTTTCGGTTGTTTTTTAAGCCTTGTTTAGTGGAAATTATAAGAATAAGCCACTCATTGTTCTGCACAAGAGTCTTAAACAGAATGCCTCCAAGGAGACTAGCTGTTGGACGAGTTGCTAGGACTGGTGCTTCCTTTGAGCAAGTAACATACCCTGCAGTAGAAATGGGTTTCCTGGTCAGCACTTGAAACTTGAGAATTTTTTCTTGTTTGACATGAGTATAAAAATCAAGAATGACGTTTTGAAGTGATGTTTTAGTGCAGTTCTTCTTGTGGACTCTTCCTAATTGGGGGAGTAAATTTGCAAATTTAATTTAATCTTTCATTTTCAAAACAACCTTTCATCCTTTTCCTGTGGGATGCCACTGATTCAGTGTTTCTATTCAGAAATTCACACTGATCCTTGATGTTTAACACAGTAGCTTCTGCAGTATTTAACGAATAAGTTTGTACATGTCATCCTCTGATTGAAGAACCTGGTCATGCAATCATGATGGACTAGTCTACATACTTGTGGTTTAAAAATGTATTTCTGTATCCCAAGGTTATAATGTTTGCAAAGGTGACATTGCATGCTTTATTTGAACAACCCATATCTGTGTCAACAAAAGAGTTCTGCAAGATGGCTGGTGGTTTTGTGTGAAATAAGGTTTGTGCAGAGTAAAACCTTCAGGGATGAGAGCAGGTCTGGGGCAGGAGTCCCCTGAAGAATGAGCTGTACTACAGAGCAGAATGTGGAGTGCTTAGCACCTATACAGTACGCATACAGATATTTAAATTTTCCAGAACCATATCATGCAAAGTGTGTGCTAAAGTAAACAAATTTAAACAGTTAGTTCACGATATTATCATGGCATCTTTTACACAATAGTTCTGGACATTTATATTAGTAGTATCAAAAGCATATTACATTCTACCTCTGGCTTAAATACTAAATAAAGAAAGGGGAAATTGAATTAATTACTTATAATCATGACCAGGGATAACATACATACCATCTGAATTCCCTGCATCATTGTTTCTGAACTTTTTGTTACAGCCGTTATTGACTTTTGACAGAACAAAGCAAGTGTCTGTCACCATTATATGAGACGAAGAGGTTTTGTAAATATCCGCTGTAAATTATAGACAATGTCAGAAGATGTGAAATGCATTTTAAGGGTATTTACAAAGATAATCTATTTCCTGAGATGTGTGTGCCAAACTTGACGTTGGTGACTTTAAACAAGAAAATGGTGACGTCTGCTCATTCTAAGATGCTTGATAAAATACAGGCTTGAAATTCTATCATGGCAATGTTCACATATTGTACCAGTATTTAAATGTGTTATTAATTACATTTGTTGCTGTTTGTTTTGATTATAAGGATGATTTTTGATGCATTTTAACTGTCACAGTTGTGTAATTACAAAGGATGAAACTAATCTTTTTTTTTTTAAATGGTCATTTTCAAAGCAGCGCTGATTCCTTTAACTCATTTACTCACGGTTCTAACTTCCTTTTTTGACCAGTATTGCTTATTTAATAAGTTGCGGGGAATTATTTGGCAAATAACATGTTTTTCGCAGATTCTCTTCAATTTTTCAGCAATGCCTGTATGCCAAAAGAATGTTAAGCTCTTGGACTCTGATTAATGCCTCATGCCCAATTAACTAATTAACACAACACATTACCCTTAATTGAGTCCCTGTAGTGAAACCAAAGAAGCTTGATTGTTTACAATTTAATCAGGAAATCACCACCACAGGCTGACTCAGAAAAGGTGTGGCTTTAATTTTATTATCAAGTATTTAAAATGTAAGCAATAATCATTTGGGATATGAACTTGAACTTGAACTTGAACTTGAACTTTATTGCCATATGTAACCGGTACTGGTACAATGGAATTCTTACTTACAGAAAGTCTCTCGTTTGTAAAACAAGTGTAAAAAACAAAACAAAGTGCAAACAGTGCATCAAGACAATGTACAAACAAACAATAGACAATGTGCAAGTAAACATGCAAACAGTTTGAATGTAAACAATACAGACGTGTAAATAATGACTGGAGACGTACAATAAATAAATTACAATGTGTTCGCCAGTCTCACTGCTTGTGGATAGAAGCTATTGAAGAATCTAGTGGTAAGTGACCGTATGCTCTTATATCTCTTGCCTGAGGGCAGTGGGGTGAAGAGCTCATGCCCGGGGTGGTGACTGTCCTCTGTGATGGCCAGAATTCTACCACGGCAGCGGTCCTCATAGAGCTGTTTAATCTCGGTGAGACCGCAGCCGATGATCTTCTGGGCCATATTGACCATTCTCTGCAGTGCCTTTTTTTCTCGCGAAGAGGTGTTGCCATACCACACGTTGATCCCGTTGGTGAGGACGCTCTTGATAGTCCAGCGGTAGAAGTTCACCAACACATGTATTGGCATCCCCCATCGCTTGAGGCACCTCAAGAAATAAAGGCGCTGCTGAGCCTTCTTCATGATAGAGTCAGTGTTCAGAGTCCAGGTTAGATCTTTAGAGATGTGGATTCCCAAAAACCTAAAGCTGGTGACTGTTTCCACTTCCGTTCCATCAATACTGAGTGGGCTGTGAGTGTGTGGCCTGTGTCTCCGAAAGTCCACTATTAGCTCTTTCGTTTTCTTTATGTTCAAGTCCAGGTTATTGCTATGAAACCACCTAAGCAGCTGTACAACTTCATCCCTTCATTTAAAAATAAAAGCTTTATGTTTGGGACCTGTTTGAGAAAAATCTCTGTGTGTTCAGATTGTTTGTCTCTGAACTTCAGTGTTGTTACTGATGAGTACAGTAAGGAAATTTAAAAAGAAAACTGTGACTATTTTGAGATCGGTAAAGCTATGTTTGTGGTGCAGATGAAGGGGAGGTTTGTGGTGGAAAAGAAAAAGCTGTATGAAACAGTCAATTGCACAATTTCCAAAACACTACAGGGGACGGACCACAAGATTTGACAAGATTTGACAAGATTTACCTAACAAGCAGCACATGTGATAGAAGAAGTTAAAAGGCATTGCAAAACAAGGATGCGTCTAAATAAAAGAAGCTACAAATATAAGAGCCTAGCATACACTGGGAGAGGCTCTTCAGTGCTCAGGAACACCGGGGATACAGAAGTGCATTGCAATTCACTTGTGTTCTCTCTGCCTGTGACTGTACCTGAGTGCTTGCTTGACATACCAGGAATCCACTCTGTGGTTCAGAATTTCACCTCCAGCTCAGGTGAGATCAGCTAGATACTGAACATTACCTATAAGAGCAGCCTACTGTATGTAATCATATGCGATGCTTTAGAATTTAGTGTGTCTTTAGCATTTGTCTTTATCTTCATAACTCAAGCATACTTTGCATTAAATACTATATAACATGTTCTGCTTTGATTGATAAGGCTTGATTAATAATTAAGTCTCACAATAATTGCATGTTGCTGGCATAATCGTGCTAGCTTTGAATGCCTAAATAATACAGCTTGATTGACGAATATAGCACACCCTTCCTTTGCGTATTTCTTGAGCTCTGCCTGTGAGGTGACTTGAAGATTAAAACTCAGAGGCTTCCACCTCAGATCACGGAGATAAATAGGAGTAATAATAAAAATCTTGGTCACCCAATTGTATTGGATTATAAACCCCCAGTAAAATGAACTTTCCTCCTGAGTTTGTGGTTTTTGTGAAGGATTTGTTAACCCAATCAGCCACCTGTTTCAGGTGAATGTCACCTCATTTCTGTGTTCTGCTACACAAGGCATTGACATAGCTGGTGGGTGTTTCCTTTGGTGGGCGGATGCCTTGATAATCTGATTTCCTCAAGCCCCGTGTGTCTTGCCTTGGCTTCTTGAGTGGGTGTGGAGCTCACCACACCTACAGGGGAACTTGAGCATGTATTCGATTCACTTCCTATGTGTTGTGCCAACATCTGCCAACATTTCCATTTTATCCGATGAGAAGAGTCAGGTCACAGACTGATTTTAATTTTGCACTGCCACGCTTCTCCTTTTGTGGTTGTGTTTCTAGGACAGAGACCTCTTTGTCGTCCCAGAATAATATTACAGCTCTTGTTGAGCTGCGCCTCTGTCCACCATGTGGCACTTAGCCA